CCCCAAAACCCCAAAACCCCAAAACCCCAAAACCCCAGTATTTGTATAATTTATTGAAAATGAACAAAAATTTTAACACGGTCGGGAAATATGATGAGAAATTTGTTGAAGACTGACTAGATGATATCCGCAATGGAGGAATAGAAGAGATAGTATGCTCCTCACGTGAAATCATTAATGACAACCTCTAAACAACAGTATAGATGTTTCTTGATTTTATAGATGCAATAGAAGGACTCCAAGATAAGATTCAGAAAAGAATTGCCAACGTAGATCAAAAGATTCAAGTACTATGCAAAGAAAAAGCTTCAGGTACTCCTTCTCCTTATCTCTAGATCACTTCTTAAAGTCAATGGAAGTTTTTGAGGCACTGAAATAACAATATTTTCAGATTGAGAGAATCAGTCACCCAATTGGATTTCTCCTTGCTAAAGGTAGACGAGGGAATTTCCAAGAATAGTGAGGATATCTTAACCCTAAAAACAAAGTTTAAAAATGCCCTTGGGACGATGCACAAGTAATTCTGAACATATCTGACTTCTTAGACTCAAACTCGTCAAAGAATGCTTTAGCATTTTGGAAAAATTGGAAAAGTTTGTTGAAATGGGCAACATTTATCAAGGATATGAGCTACTTTTTAAACTTAAAGCTATCCTTGACGAAAAGCTCTCAGAATATATTCCTGCAGATATGGATGAATTCTTTAGGTCCAAGATTAGAACACTTGAAATTTTGATTAAAAATTCACTAGATTCGCAACTGATGGACTGGATTGAAGATTTACAGAATGAACAAGAGCGGATAGGTAAGTTTATGAACTCAAAATTTTAATTCATTGCTCTGACATTTTCTTCGCTTCTCTTACAAAATTTTTTGTTGACTTAAAAGCTGATCATGAACAATATTTTATTGAGGACTGCTATATTGCAACTAACTTATAGGAAGCCATATGAAAGGAATGGCAGAGTCGAAATTAGCTCAGTATCTTTGGAATATCTAAACTTTAGACCTTCTAAAAAGGAGAAAAAGATTGACATTAACAATACCTTCAGAGATACATATAAAGTTGGCTTTACAACTCTACTAACAAAGAAAACAAGCAGCTATGACAGTGAATCATCAGAAAATTTTGTAAACAAGACACTTCGTGACATGAGAGGGAACACTAGAGGCTCAATATATTTCTCCGACAAGTAGATATACTTTTCAATTACTTTCCCACCCAGAGGGGTTTTGGGGTTTTGGGGTTTTGGGGTTTTGGGGTTTTGGGG